TTTCGGCGTGTTCCTACAACTACAATATTGATGATAGACTTTGTCCTTAATCAACACTTTTGCAGGTTCGTGTAGGCGTACAATGTTACAAAAAAAAGAAATGTGATGTAATCCGGGGAAATCACGAACTTTTCTATTGCGAGAAACCGTTCATGATCGTGCATTACACGGCACAAATGATGACATATTAGTATTTTACGCCACGAATGATTGAGTAATCACACGTTAAGGCAATCGCAGTGGGGAGGTAAAAGTAAGCGAAACAGCGGATCGCCGTTTACTCGCACAGATGTCAGTTGCCGAGAAATCACAAGAACGTGGTTTCGCAAAATGAAGTTTGATTCTCTTATAAATTTATAATGCTGTTATACAAACAAAATAGCGTATGCAACTCATTTATAATGCTGCAATTCGTATAATAGCATTCGTATAAATGTGGAAACTCGCTCATAACATTGCTAGTTTTCAAAACATTTACTCATGCAATAAAGCTAAACATTATAACCTAATAGCATAAACTACTAATTAACATCGCATTAAGTCGAATGCCAAGAGCAAAGATTTTAAAATCTGTTTCAAATGTCAAATTAACGTTTTTTTCACTTTTCACTTCTATTAATGACAGTCCTTGGTTATCCTATTAGGTGCGAGTAATCCTGGGTTAGCACGAACCCACTGCCCTCATTTGAGCGAGCCTTGCGGAACGAAGGACCAAATCCCGCCTTGCTTCCGGAGCGACAGGCTCGCGTTCGTCGAACTGCGACGTGGAAGGCGCTGCGGAGCGCCCCGCGCGCCACGGCCGAGCTGGCGAAATGCCCACCCCGAACTCCCGCTAACTGGACCGCCGCCGCCGCCGCCGCCGCCGCGCGCGCATCACTTCGCATCGGCCCGCCGCGCCCGCCCCGCCCGCTCCGCCCGCGTCGTTCACAAACAAGGCTAGTCAAACTAGTCGGACCTGCAAACCGTTTTACATGTTCGCTCGTATTTCTTCAGCCTGTTCCCGTTGCAGCACCTCTCTTCCTGGCGCGGGCGAGTCGATAGAACGCGGGGCAAACAAGGTTATAAGGGGAGCGCCTTGCGCGAGAGGCGACGACTCCGCT